CAGGAAGCTGCAGGTCATTTCAGGGTACATTTGTGAAGTATATATAAATATATTTGAAATATATTTAGTTTTCTACTCTTCTGTGCAAATCTGCTCTTGGTCAGTGTTGAGCCAACATGCTAGGTTAGGCAGACCTTAGTTTTGACCCAGCACAGCCGTTCTTTTATTTTCACTTGCTTTTTTTCACCTTGCATTGGTGATCTGTGTCATTACGGCCGACTATACATTCAGGTCTTTCTCAATGTTAATGATTTCAGACTGACAACATCCCAGATTATAGTGAAAGGTTTTACTCCTAGTCCCTGGAGGAACAAGTTTGCCTCTTGACTTTTTAAATTTGTCTTCTGCTGTTCCAGGCCTCAAGATTACCTGATCCTTCATTCTCTTTATTGACAATTCTTCCTAACTTTCTTCTGCTGCAAACAAATTCTTCTTGCCATTCCAGATTTGTCCTAGTACCAGGATTTAGTGACGTTCACTAAAACACCTAGAAGTCTCCTTCTCCATTTTATACTTCTTTTTTTCTCCTTTATCCAGTTCCCTATCCACTGTGCAGCTCTTGTGTTCAACTTTGTATTTTCAAGACAAATTAATCAAGCTGCAGTATTGTATACATGACTGAAGTTCAGTTACATGAGATGTACCATACATCCTTCATCTGGAGAATGATGTATCTCATAAAAAGTAGCATCTAGTTACCCTGAAAACTTTTGTCTTTGGTATCCCAAGTCATTCTGCATCTTCAGCGACTCTTTTCTTCAAAACACATTCTGTGGCCTCACAGACGGTTCAAGTTAAGCCAGAAGCTCTATAGAGGGATTCACAGGAATGCTGGGCAGGATCCACACACCAGTCACGTGTCCACGTGAGAAATCTTCCTGCACCTCACCTCCTGGAACCCGTGCACAGGCCTCTGTCGCAGGTGACGTAGCAGACTGCTGGCGTCCACTCGTATTCTTTGGGGCTTCCTCCACCGATTTCCTTGCTGAACCTTCAGCATGGATCATAGAATCATAGAATCATTAAGGTTGGAAAAGACCTCTAAGATCATCGAGTCCAACCGTCAACCCAACACCACCATGCCCACTAAACCATGTCCCTAAGTGCCTCATCTACTCGTCTTTTAAATGCCTCCAGGGATGGGGACTCAACCACTTCCCTGGGCAGCCTGTTCCAACATTTAACCACTCTTTCAGTAAAGAAATTTTTCCTTACATCCAATCTAAACCTCCCCTGCCGCAACTTGAGGCCATTTCCTCTCGTCCTATCGCTAGTTACTTGGGAGAAGAGACCGACACCCACCTCGCTACAACCTCCTTTCAGGTAGTTGTAGAGAGCGATGAGGTCTCCCCTCAGCCTCCTTTTCTGCAGGCTAAACAACCCCAGTTCCCTCAGCCGCTCCTCATAAGACTTGTTCTCCAGACCCCTCACCAGCCTCGTTGCCCTTCTCTGGACACGCTCCAGCACCTCAACGTCCTTCTTGTAGTGAGGGGCCCAAAACTGAACACAGTACTTGAGGTGTGGCCTCACCAGTGCCGAGTACAGGGGGACGATCACTTCCCTACTCCTGCTGGCCACACTATTTCTGATACAGGCCAGGATGCCATTGGCCTTCTTGGCCGCCTGGGCACACTGCTGGCTCATGTTCAGCCGGCTGTCAACCAACACCCCCAGGTCCTTTTCCGACAGGCAGATTTACAGCCACTCTTCCCCAAGCCTGTAGCGCTGCATGGGGTTGTTGTGGCCGAAGTGCAGGACCCGGCACTTGGCCTCGTTGAACCTCATACAATTGGTCTGGGCCCATCGATCCAGCCTGTCCAGGTCCCTCTGCGGAGCCTTCCTACCCTCGAGCAGATCAACACTCCCGCCCAACTTGGTGTTGCCTGCAAACTTACTGAGGGTGCACTCGATCCCCTCATCCAGATCATCGATAAAGATATTGAACAAGACCGGCCCCAGTACTGAGCCCTGGGGAGCACCACTCATGACTGGCCGCCAACTGGATTTAACTCCATTCACCACAACTCTCTGGGCAAGGATCGGTGAAGAGATGGGTATGCAGACATACACAGCACCAGCTCGTGGAAGAAATGACTTAGGGACATACCTCCTTTTTGTAGCTCTATCATAATGCAGCTCACACGGGATTTCTGTGTGATCCCATACCAACACATGATGCTATTTTCTCAGTCACGCAGCAGCTCATCCTTTCTGGGTTATATGGTAACAGACAGACATTATACCTGTTGACTGTAACTACTTGTACAATGGAAACCATGTAAGAAAGAAAACAGTGAAATTGTTGGTACACATGGACACAGTGCTTTTTTCTTCCTCCCCAAATCCTTCCCTGAATTTTTACCTGCAGGTAGTTTGGCTGTATGCGTGACTGCTCTTCTCAAACCTTTTCACATGGGAGTTCGCTCAGTCTGAAATACTGTTGTCAAAACCACTCTTGCTCTTCACTTTAAAAAAAAAAGTACACCACCACCAACCTTCACACATCCCACATATGAACTGGCACAAATAGAGTGATGTTTCCTTTCCAAAGCCCACAGAATGCCTATGGCTTTGCACTGAGAGAACCCAACTCCCAGAGCTACAAGATGAAGGCTAAAAATAACCCATTAAGGATTAATTTCAGGATTTTTCAATACAGCTAATTAATATGCATAGGAAAGGCACATGGTCTCCGGGAAGGAGCACACACAATCACAGAGTCTACAAGGGAAGAGAGGGGGGCGGGTGACACACAGGCAGAGTGCCAAAGGAGAAATAAAAGAGGATATTCGCTATATATCCTTGGATAGAGGACGTGCAAAGAAAGTGTGTTTCAGAAGAGGTAGAAGCAGAGGGGTGAAACACTTCACTGTTGAAGAGGCAGAGACAATGCAGTGCAACCACAAAGGACAGGATCCCATTTGAAAAGCAGTGAGGACAGTAATGAAGCCTTCAGTATTGGCCAAAATGTTATAGACAAGGATAGAGAGCTTGATAGTACTAGAGCAGGAGGCAAGGTTTTGTGCGTTAGGGCTCAGCAGCTGAGATGGTGTGACATGGATAGACATAGCAAATGTGCTTTGATGCAAGAAGCGAGTTTCAATGAGGTGGCTTAGGGGCTGAGCACACCACAGGAAGATCAGTGGATGCAAAAGACACTGCTTTGGTAGTGGCACTGCGGTAGGAAGCTGGGTGCATCATGGACATGCGGTGCTTGTGTGGAAGGCTAGGGAGCAACAGCTGAATGCGTAACTGGATCTCAGGATGGATGGCATACCAGGACAGCAGGTGTCTACCTGGTGTCATGTGTTGCACTGAACTATGGCACTTTGGAAGCAATTTTCTCTTATGGAGTAATACTGAAGGAGGTCATTGCATCCTGAGGCAGAAGCACCCTGGGAAGGCTGGGCATTGGATATAAAGCACTGAGACAGGACGCACAGGATGGCAGTCATGGCACGCCATGAAAACAAGGTACCGCACGCGAGCAATACGGGTGATGTCAGACAGTAAGGATTATCTATAGCTAATGTGAATCAGAAAGCAAACCTGGTTATTCACTTGCTGTACTGCAAAGCAGAGAGCTATAGCAGCAGTTTGAGTGAATTTAAAGGTGCAGGGGGAAAATAGGCTCACTCGAAGCAATTTCCTCATACCAATTTCCCTGTGAACAACATTTAAACAATTACAAACTTCTTCCTTTTCACAGAGGGCGGAGGAATGGGTGGACAGACTTAATTGCCCAATTCACTGGCTATTTAGTATCAAGAAAAGCTGGGGGTTTAACCTGGTGTCTTAAGAAAATTAAGTTTATTTAGTAGCACTGCTTGTCTGCCTGCCCCCTTTACCCTCATCATGAAGAATCTTTGAACTTCTTAGCCACTTTCACACAAATTTAACAAAAAGGGTAGAAATCTCAAAAATTTGTGAGATTTGGTGGCTTTCACACTGGCACACAGAAACAACCTCAAACTGTTGTACATTTAGCTACATCTCGAGAAAAATTACAGCAACCTGTTAAAAGCAAGCAAGGGGTACAGGGGTTTAATTTTGCAATAGGGGGTCTTGATACATGTTTAAGTTGACAAAGCCCCTAGTAGAGCTGCAGGGGAAAGAAAAGCTGCAGCACCACCAAGCCTGTGAAACAGGATCAGCTTCACAGTCCAGTGCTACAGGAAGTTGCTATTGGAGGCAGAGGACACAAAACGCACCTTTTTCACTTAAAGACATTCTTTATTCAATCTTTTTTTATATACAATATTATTTTTAATCTGTAAAAAGTACATATGCAGGATTCCAGGTCAGAGGCAGGTTTCCACATCAGAAGATAGACTTTTGCCCTTTTATTACTTTGGAGGAAAAATAATCTGTCAGTTTTAGACAAAGCAAGAATAAAGGCAGAATGCAAATCCAACTTCCACCAAGCGATTAGGATTAAAGGCAACAATTCACCGTAACAAGTCAGGCTGTCTCCTTCGACTTCGGTGGTTCCCAACTTTTCTGGGCAATTACAGAGCAGTTTGTTAGAAGGCGCTGACAGCCGAAGCAGCTAGTGCTTATCATCTCTGCTACAGTTGTACGCACGTAACTTGCAAAAGAGCTTGGGTTTCCTCTCTGTATGGCAACTCAAACTCTTGAGTCAGAAGACTGTTTCTCAAAATTCAAGGAGCGAAAAAGTGATGTCTTATCAGGGTGAACAGATCTCCGAACTACAGTGTGGATCAAGAGCTTGCTTTCATTTTTCTCTGGTAACAAGAAGCCTGTTTCTTATTTGTCCCCTTGAAAACATGGACTAGACTTATTAATGTACATAACAGGCTTGATTTGCTAAAAGCCTGCTACTACAGCCCTGAGATGTAAACTGCCTCACCATTTTCTGTGGATGCCAGGTTACATTGTTGATCCTTTCAGACTTAATGCTATTAACCACTTCGCCATTCAAACTAGGGACAGTCACATTATAAAAGTTTGTAATATCATTTCCTGAGGGATAGAAGAGGGGATTATAAAAGACAGCCTGATAGGGATTTGCTTAGCTGTAAGTCAGCACAGGGTAGACCTTTAACCTTAAAGGATATGTCAGTGTTTGGGAGGTAGAAGACAGTGATCCACAAATTTGGAGTAGGGAGCTAAAGGAGCCTCAAAGGTGTGACTGGCACAGGGAACTACCTGTTTTTACTTTTACTCCAGCGTACTTACTATTTTCCATACTTTTCTTAAGCATTCAGTTTTAAGGACCATACTGTGCAGCAAAATATCACAGAATATCATTCAAGGGTTTTGTTTTTATTTAGAGGACAAAGCTAAGAAGTTGACTTCTTGACTGCAGGACACACATAGCTCCAGGGTGGTCAGTGGAAGCTGCAGACATTTGGTTTCTTTGAAAAGTCAGGCTGTAAGTGTTAGAAAAAAATGTACTGCTAGCAGATCCTGACCAACAGGCAAGCTTCAGGCTTGGATTAGGAAAAGAACTGAAGATCCTTGTTTTGACTGCATGCAAACAGGAAATAGACAATTCTGGGATTTCCAGGCTCTTGCCCAAATCCAGTGTGCCAAAAACATACATGATTTTCTGGTTTTTATTTCATCCTGTAAGAGGAGAGGGTATTGTAGAAATTGCTAAAATGGGACAGCTACCTAAAGAAAACGAGGATCGTTTTGTTAGAGAATACAGTGCAAGACTCGGAAACAACTAGGACTAAAAAGTCATTTTGTGCTTAAATTTACACTCTATCTTCATGAAAGTATGTAAGACAGCAGCAACAGAATGAAAATGGCAATATTCTACCGTACCTTATGTACCTAGAGGGAAAACAGTCTGAACTTTGGGTTGCACATAACGCCATTCTGCAGATCAGAACCTACTTCTCTGTGAAGGACTCAGAACGAGGGCACGTCACTTCAGTCAGAAGTTTCAATATCCGTGGTGCTTGGTTATTACGCACCCACCTCGCTCAGAACCCATGACCTCCAAACTCAGCTTGCTCTAGGAAATCTCAGGCTGGAGAGATTCATGAATGACACAGCAACTAGTCCATAAAATGCATTATTTTTGATACACTATGCACATCAGTAGCTTCTGGAGGGAAAGGATAGTTTGTATTTTAAAGAGTGATAGAGTAGAAACTGACAGCCGTTGGGGTAACTGGAAAATGAGAAACAAGTGTCCTTTATTTGGTAGCTGCTGCTTGTCTACACAAAGAAGAAATAGCAGTACTGTACATCTGCTTTGAGAAAAATACCATCCCATAACATGAAATGGCTTAGGTCCTCAATTCAAGCATTCTTGTGGCAGTGAGTTAACCCATTGGGATTCATAGAGGAATTAATGTGAAGGGTCGCTCTTTAATTCACACGAGGAGGGTGGAAGAGCAGCAAACAATGATAAGAAGTTTGCTGTTTCTGGGACTCCAGAATTCTGTCCTTGACCTTTCTCTGAAGACTGGCAGCCATTCTACATCTGCATTTATCAGGAGGTGTATGGGGATGGGTGTATGGGGTGAAAGTGCCTTTTTCTTTTTTTCTTTTTTTTTTTTTTTAAATAGAATAGTCTGCTTTTCCTCTTTCTCCTTTGTACCCAGAGAGATTTAGGAGAACAAGGCAATCCATCGAGTGCAGCTTTAAACTAGTAACAGTTCTCATGGGATGGGAAAAACTCAACTTGAAAACACAACGTATCTGAACTTTGGAAAATGACTAGCTCTTCAGTAAGTCACTGAATACTAATTAGAAAAATAAATTAATGAGGGACCAGTAAGAAGAATCCATTTATTAAGCTACTTCTAATTTTAAATAAACAATTACTTGAATCAGTATTATTTACTACATCAATTACTTTATCAGTTCTCAAATTATTTTTAAGATACTGCTGCAAATTACAGTAACTAAGTAACTGGTATTAAGGTAAAATCATTGAGATGGGAGTTTTTTCCAAGATCAATGTCTTTCTCCTCTTAAGCTAAAGTAACTGTCTGGAAAAAAGCATCTGATAGCATTTTTTCTTAGATCATGTGATGATTTCTGTGTTTAAGGTAGTGTCAAAGATGAGCCAAGAAAAGTTTTATGGGGGAAATTCTACTATACTGTACAGTCAGATATATTATAATATGATGGAGAGAAAAGCTTTTATATATAAAACTTCATATATAAACATTTTTTGAGGGGGAGAAATAGCACTCACTCCCTTTAGATCTGATGCTGTACTGCTGTAGCTCACTGAAGAGTTCTTCCACTCACGTTAGTACGAAAACACAATCAAGACTTTTTAAAGGCTCAACCTGCGCATTAATTAGGAGGGAAAGGAGCACCTCACAGCTCTTTTTCAGCAAAGGGGCCAGTCACCATGGCAAAAGGATTTGAGAGCTATAAAGGGGAATAAAAAGAATAATTTGAGCTGTAAGGATTCTGGATCAATGGTAAAAAAAAGAGATTGAGATATACTTGAAAAGACGAAACTTCTTTTAGCCAGTAAGTGAAGACTGAAGCAGACTCCATTTAAGTGATACTGTCCAGCCCAGCCTAGGAGTACTCAGAAAAAAACCCATGCAGGTAACAGCATCTCATTTCTCATAAACTAATGGAAGAAGAGACTCTTCAGTTTCTTTTTCCACTCATATGTAAGAGATGTTATGTTGTTTCCAAAGAAGATCATGTTGGCTTTGCACTGGAGCACCGAGAAGAAAAGGAGTTTTGTAAACTAAATCAAAGGCAGTTTTGGGCTTCTGTCATACCCATACCTGCAAAGAAGGTTCCATGAATAGTATCCAAAGAATGAAATTGCTTAGGGACATGGTTTAGTGGGCATGGTGGTGTTGGGTTGACGGTTGGACTCGATGATCTTAGAGGTCTTTTCCAACCTTAATGATTCTATGAAATTTAACTTTTAGGAAAAATCCCGATTGTGTGGAAAAATACAAAGCAACAAACTCCTGCTGCTTAGCTCAAGGGGAGCATTTTTAAATGCCATATACTGTATCCTGTTATATAAATCATGAGAGACTGTTTTTCTCATGTTGTCGTCTCTGTTTGTTTAGCTAAAAGAACCGGGACTAATAAGAGAGTGGTTTTTTCCATGTGACAGGACTTGTGAGGAAGGGAGACTTCATCTCCTTCCTACCCCTGCGATATGCTCCAGACTCTGTGACTTTAGGCTTGCCAAATGAACTAAGCCCACGTTGCTGACAGTGAACTACAAACCAAACGCTTACTAATTGTTTTTTTGGATGTAAGCATACAACACTGATCTTTCAGCATTATTTTGGAAAGGGAAAATGAGGAGGCAATAGTTTTTATAGTTTATAGTTTAGTTTTAATAGCTTAGAGGCCCTGAGAATGGCTGCCAGTCTGGTCAAACAGATGCTCCTTAGAAAATTCAGACAGGTACAGAAAAAAATTCAAATCCTGATGCTGCTGGTGCAGTGATGTTGCTTTTTGTTGTTGCTTTGTTCATGCCATCATCAAACACAAAAAAAGAAAAATAAAATCTAGGTATTTGGAACCCACCCGATCTGAAGAGATGACTGGTGTGTTGTTCCTTGCAACAGCCAGGAGCAGCAGCACCAAGTTCCTCTCCCTGGACGGGAAAGCCTCTTCTTCCTTATGCTGCTGCGTTTATATTAAACAGTAGATTCCATGTCTTGCTAGTGTTCAAAGCGCATGAAGTCTCTGTCCTGCAAATACCACACTAACGTGTTTTGGTCATGTATAAAACAGAATTTTTAACTTATCTATATGTTGAAGAGCTTCGTTTCTCACGCCGGTACTTGCTTGACTCAGAGGTCTAGTTTTATCAAGTGTCTGTCTCCTCTCCTGCTTAAAGTCTCAAGTGGTCCATGTAAACAAAACAGAGCTGAAAACAGTCTCTCCTCCTCTTCATAGAGCTGTTTTTATCGATATGCAGGATTTCCTGACAATGTGGTGTTGGCTAAATGTAAAACAGGCAGAGGATGAGCTTCTGTGTTAAAAACCCAGTTGTCTAATGGTAGAAGGTCATCATTGGAGAAAAGCAGATACAAATACCTAGATATCAAGACAGAGAGGAAAAATGGTGGGTATTAAGTTGTTATAAAGACAGCATTTTAATCTTTCCAAGTAACTTTTGTTTTTCAAGACTCCTTTCAAAAACTTGCAATGTAAAACAAACATCAAGACACCAAGCACAAGGATTTGGGGGACGGGGAGCAGAGAAGAAGTTGACAAAAAATTCTTCTTAATGGAGTAAACCCACTTGGAAATAACTAATCCTTTTTAATCCAAATCAAAGATTTTGAGGAAGCACAAAAGAAGCTGCCAAGCCCTGCCAGATATCTGACTTGTCATCACTGTGCTGGAAGCCAGTTCAGCTTCTGCTGGAAGGAAATGGGCCAATATATTGTGCAGAGGGGATTCATAAATGTTGGACGTTATAAAGCAATGCAGAGCAAATGAAGCATGTAACAAAATTAAGGTTTCTGGACATCTGTGGAAGAAGAGTGTTTCTTGGTTCTTTTTTCTTAATACACACTTAATGTGGCTGTGCTATACCTTGTAGGAGATGTTGGTGGTAGGGATCTTTGTCAAGGCTTCCAAACTCAATTGCTAAAATTCAAAAGGCATTTCCCTTGTTCCAGAAAACCTGACTGTGCAAGTGCAAGCGTAACACCATGGGTGTACAGGACCTCTCAGCTCCTGCTACAGCTTGCTTTCCTGCCATCCAGAAAATGACACGTCTTGCAGCATGTGACAAGGAAGGGGTGTCGTTCCCATTAGTGGGCTCTGTCACATCCAGTATGTGCACACATGTTGTTCTGCCTTCGCTCTGCTGAGGCTGCTGTTACTTCGCGCTCTCTCAATCAGATGCTGGTAGTGTCTACTGTCTACAGTCATGTGTCACTGCCTGATCATTCTCCCCTTGCCTTTATTTGCCAGTTGTATCCACAGCACAACCCAGTCAGTGAAGCTCTACTTTTTCTTCCCTTCCTCACCAATTAACTGTTTACAGATAAAAATTCTTGCTCATATGATTCAGTTTTGTCCCACGTCTAGTCTCTTTCTCTACATTTTTCATTCATCTTTAAAGCGTCATGCTTTTCCTTTCCTCCTTACTCCTACCTTGCTTTCTCCCTCTGCAGCTCTTCAAACTCTTTTTCACCACAGTAGCAATGTTTCATCTTACTCAAATTCACGTTCCTCATTTGATACACGCTTTTCCTTTGAACAACTTAAGCAACCTATTTCTACGTCTTGCTCCTTCCCACTCAAACAGCCACCTTCTTGCAACTCAGACTGCCCAAACTCTCATAATTTGCCGAGTATCTTTGATGAGCCAAAGTATCCGAGCAGCAACAATGCGTGTTTGGGAGAGGTATCAATTTTGAATTTGAGAGGAATGAAGATGCAGAAGTTATCATCAATAGCAGAAAAGATCACAGCAGGCATTCCGTAACACACGTTATGCCCCTCTTCTGAGGGACATCTTCATTTTCCTCATGGCATCACACCCAATCCTTCTGTCTTTATTTTCATAGCCATTTGAGCTATCCTGACCTTACGTTGTCTATTTTATCTCAAGGTGATACCAGTTTCTAGTTTGGCTATGCAAATCGCATCAATGTCAAACATCTAATATCCAGCTCTCCAATAAAACGTTTTGTCCCACAAGCGGGAAATGATCCAAACCAAAAGCCAATAAAAATTTCTGAGTTCCTTCCTAGAACTGCCTTCTTTTGCAATGCTTGCACTATAGTACATCCAGTTACTGAGTGATGCATCAGTGAATTTGCAGATCTCCTTGTGATTATTTAAGATGCAGACAGGATTCTGGCGATACTTCAAAGGTCAGCGCTGTCACCACAGAAGTCCCTTAGGAGCAAATTTCATTCTCTGATTTGCCTTTTATAGGCAGATCAATCATATAAGACCAGCTCCTGGGGAGGTATTGCTTCTCTGACTGGACCTGTTTGAAACTGCTGCCTCTCTCTTTGGGAGTATAGCTTTTAGTCTCCAGAAAATGAACTTGAAGGAGTAAGTGAAATAAAACTAATGAAGACAACAGAGGAGGCAGCAGTGGCTGACTTTCTTTTATAATGGTAACATTGGGAAAAAAAGTATTGTGACTATGTAGAGGAATTTGGTAAGGACCCAGCAGAAGGATAGAATAGCCAGACTCTCCCCTTACCCGTGATGAACTTGGAGCCCCTTCTTGCCAGTGAAACATGTTGTGGTGCCTGAAGTAGGCACCCGTACTGCGACTTTCAGGACCTGCTTTCTCCCCACTGCATTTTGAGCTTCCAATACACAAAATCAATCTTTACATACATCAGCTACAGCTAAAACCTGAAAATTTGATATTGCTGATACTGTAAACTCTGCTGCTGTATAGAAACTCTGTTTATTCTGCAAAGCCTGCATGCCATGCTAGACTGCCAAATAGTTACAACTGTTTTTTCGTCATATCGCTGGGTTGTAAAGACAGAAAGGGCACCTTAATGAGTCTTCGCTACTGACAGGTTTGTGCAACAACATATGTATCATCCCTTCCATCACACGTTGGCAGAAAGTGGCATGGATATGTAAGCAGAGGCAACAACTATGTCTCCTAATAGCAGCTCTGGCCTCATTCACACTGCCAGCAGTAGCTTCTGTCTATGGATTTAACCAACTAAAACATTCTCCAAACTATTATGCAGGAGGAAAAAAAGGGATAGGGAATATAGCCAACTCGGACATTTTTCTTCCAAAAGTAGACAATTCACAATATTTCAGGGAGGTAACCAGTACAGGAATCTTGGTAGATTTCAATGCCAGAACTATATTACCAAATGTAGTGATGTAACTTGACTATCAAGAAAATTGTCACACGTGAGAAGACATTGCTTCATAGGCAAAACCCCAGAGCGATCACAACTGTGTGATAAGAGTGCTCTTGAGAGCTGGTTTGTGTCAATGATGAAGGAGATGAGTAGCCATGACACGCTAGCTGTTTTAAAAATGGATCTCTTAATAAAATCCCTGTAACATATTCCTATCTTTATACTAGTTTTTCTTGTTGTATGTATCATCTCCATAAGTTAGAGGTTATGGCATATTCTAGTATAGCATTTTTTGTTATTAATTAGAAAGAAACATAGTGGAAGACCAATGACTTTGAACATTTTATCTTGAACCAAATATGCAGAGTACATTAGCTGCTGCAGGGTGGATTACAGGTGATTTGACTGAATTGAAAATATTTAAATATGTAAGAGATTATAAAATATGCCTGATATTCTTGCTTACACTTACTAGCATTCTAGAAAAATAAGTTGTGGGATAAATACAGAAAAATCATCCAAGGGCACAAAGGACTTTTGTCCCATGCATTTACTCCTTTCCAGTGACACACACAGGATAAACAGGTTCTACAATATCAGAGCATGGCACATACTCGTGTAAGACATGTCAAGTCGATGTATCTAAAAAAAAAAATGTCTTTTGCAAAGGGAATTTCTTAAAAGGAGATAACCTCTCCTCTGATGCCAGAAATCAAATAGAAGTCTTAAAAACTAAAGCGCTCTCAGCATAAGCTTCTTGTATGGGAAATTCCATTTGTATTTCTGCTGGTAAAATGGGCTGATCTGGGACCCTAAAGCTGGGAAAAAAAGAAAGCCCAAACCATAAACCACCCTGACAAGACAATAGTTTATTTGTTGAGCCACTGCATTCTTCTAGAATTTAGATGCTAGCTTTTACAGGAAGATGCAAGAGTGAAGAGAACTTACTTCAAAGTTTCAGCAAGGAAAAAGCTCTGCTGTACGTCGTCATATGTAGGAGATGAGGAATAGACATCCTTGACACCAGAAAAGCCACCGCTGACTCGGCAATACTTGTCAATTGCCTGCAAAGAGGAAGGGAAAAGAAAAGGAGAATTCAATTGTAGAGCAAAATTTGGAAACATTAAAGGACCAGGCTTGATCAACAAAGGAGGTAGCTCTTTCCGTGCTGCATTATTCTGTTGTGAATCTCCTTGTCAGAGGATGCTGTGGATGTTAACAGTTTATGCTGACCCAAAAAAAATAAGAAGGGACTGGACACATACAGAAGTAAAATCCCTCCAGCGCTACTAACGACACCACATTTGGCAAACTGCTAGATGCTAAGAAAGTATTCTGGGGAAGCATACTTTCTTTCCTGGATATTTACTGTTGACTGATAGTGATGACAGGACATGGACTCTGTAGACTTTTGCTCTGAGCTGGTATGGCTCCTCATAGGTAACACTGCGTAGAACATCCATTAGTCAATCAACACAACATGTGCTATAAGGTGCATAGGAAGATGACAAACTTCCCTGGATTTTGCAGCTGGAAGAGTCTGAAGAGTTATAGGAACTCTGTGACTAGTAGCTAGTCATAGGGACTTACTGAAAGTAGGAATAAAATACTGTACTCATCTTTAGGGACTGTTGATTTCATCTTATAAACTCTTCTAGCTGCTGCTTTCTCCCCACATTTCCATCTCCTACATATGCTCTTCTCTGTTTCCCCTTTACAGAGTTGAAACTCAAGTCAGCTTGTGTGCTGGACTGCAGAAGAGCTCTTTATATTTAAAGCATGAAGTTTAAATCCACAAACATTCCATGCAGAAAGGGGCCAATGGATCCGTGATTCACAAATCACCCAGCTAGTCAGCTCCAACACAGTACTGCAAAAAGCACAATGGAAGAGGAGGAGACTGGAAAGAACGTGTTAGTAGCTCAGAGCACCTCTTGCCTACGCTTTCATTATTCCATTCACATGCCCGACCTTACAGCACACAAGGATATGAGCCATTAAAACGGGCCCCAAAGAAATGGTTCTGAAGTGATTCACAGGTTATTTGTGCTTCCCTGCTGCTTTGGCAGTGCTTCCTCAGCAGAGACCAACTCTTTTAATAGATTCATGCAGGGACAGAAAAGGCACAGTGATGAAGGAAAATGTTTGGCTCAGGATGTCTGTCATTACCAACTACTGAACGTAGCTACCTCTAGTTCAGTAATCTATGATTCAGCCCATTAGCCTGTATGAAGTTTCTCTCCACATGGTGCTTTAGGCCCAGATTTTTGTTAATTCTGATTTTTGCTAGTTATACTCAATGGAAGCTGAGGGGAGTCAAGGCAGGGGAGCAAATAAGTTTTGAATGATGTCCCTTTATATACAGAGAAAACAAATTCAATCAAAATTAACTCTTCAAGGTCCTTACTATAGCCTTTGCATACAAGAAATACTGGGAAACAAAGGAGAATTTTCCATTGGACACATGCATGAAGAATGCTGGCAGATGCCATCACTGAAATCAGGAGGAAAAGTGAAAAGGCAAATGAGCAAGGTACCTAGGACAGTAAGTCACAGCACATCAGGTACTACAGCTAACCTCCTCCTAGTATACACTCTTACGCTGTAGAAATGTGACGTTGTTCATGGACCAAAGAATAATCCAGACTGTACAAAGTTCTTTCAAATTTCTGAAGACCAAGATTTTTAAAGAAGGAAGAGGAGAGACTGGCAAAAGGATATTACTGGAATGGCTGTGGCTCTAAAGCCTGAGCTTATGCCAAGAAAGGTACAGTCTTTCTTGGCAATATTTAATTCTCATTGTAATTCCTTATCTCAAGTGGAGCTTTCTCCAAGTTCGGATGGAAACACTCCCTTTTTTATTGGGACTTGAGCCTAAAAGGAGAAAGTGTCTGGATGAATTATTTTCAGATCTGGTTACTGGTGCAGGCTAGGGCTTCACTGAGACTGTTCACGTGTTGGGATTTGGGTTGACCAGGTTTTCTCTACAGTCTGGAGAGAAAGGTGTTTGTGACACATCTAGCCCAACAGCATCACACGCATGACAATCTCTTTGTCTGCATGCTCCTGCACACCACAAGTGATGCTAGCTATCTCACATGGCAGCCAAACAAAAAAAAAAAAAGGAAAAGAAAAAAATTAATTGCTTGGCCAACTTCTGAAGAAATAATGCATACGCTGTTTATGGAACCATTTGCACGTTCCTCCCCACAGGTCCTACAGCCGCTAGGCAGGTGTTATATAAAAAAACAAGAGCCAAAGCACTTTGCTTTCTAGGCAGGAAACAAAGTGCCTCCTCTTGCCACTATCCCCTTTTTTATAATACTGCAGAACACGACCTTGTCTGTGCTCTGGAGTGTGGCACGATGCAGGGGGGGGGAAGCTCCAGTGGTTACAATCCTGCCAAAATTTCTAGCATGCAGAGTCTGACCTTGCAGGTGTTCCTCTGGTCAACAATTCAGCAATCCTGACACTGTGTGCCACAGCTCGGACAGGAGAAACTTGCTAGTGATTGTGGCAAAATGAAAAGAAGGAACAAACGGTACCACTATTAAGACATTGTCTCCTTCCTCCTCAAGAATTAAATCCCCAAGTCAGCATAAGAGACACAACTCGTTTATTCCGGAGACTGTAGTTAATACATAGCACTGAGATCCTGCTCTGTGCTGTAGAGGCCTCATGCTTGGATAACTAAGTGCAACACTGGTGAAGCTAGCAGGCCTAGAAGCCTGAAGAAAGAAAATGTGTGATTTATATTTTTTTTTTTTTTCCTCTCCTTACAATTACCAAGTAGTGTTGTATCTTCAAAAATTTCTCCTTGGGGAGACAGACTGGCTAGACTGGAGTTCAGGATAGGCAGAGGATTTATCCTAGTTGATCAGAGATCTATACCCTGCAGGTAGTAATGAACTGTAGAGGAAAAATTCCTCTGAAAGATTGCTATACAGCTATTCATCCAAATACGGATAAACAAATTGTCCTTGATTCAGAGGTGTACAGAACTTCAGGACACTGTCCGAAAAGTTTGGTGCTGTAGACAAGTTGCTTAAAAGGCACTTGAAATTTGCCGTGTTCTGCCTTCACACAGATCTCAGAGTACTTGGTGTATAGGCATCTATTTGCCACCTGGATACTCTTTGACTCAAGAGCTGAAGACCAGTTTCCTTGATAAAATGATGCTAAATTTATTGCACCCTAGAATACAGGGAAGTCCTAGATGACTGGAAGGGTATCAAGGCAATGCTACTATTATGAGGCATCGGCAGGCTGAATAATTTTAAGATGGCATACCTGATGTTAGTCCCAAACAATTACAGCAACACATGTAAAAAAATACCGAAGAATAAGAGGATAATTGACACCAATCAGCATGGTTTTATAGAAAACTATCTTGCTCACAAGCTTGATTTCATTCTTTGAGGTCTACAAGTTGGTAAATAAAGGTAACTGCAGAGGTGTAATAAACTTAAATGTTTCTAAAGCAATTGACATGGTACCGTAAGACTTTATGATAAGACAAAGCAGCACTATACCATATCAATATCACTATCTTAATTTAAAACTGACTGACAGTGCTCTAAGAATGAACTGGCAATGTAAAATCATCAACAAATAGAGCTGCTTCTCACAGAAATCCACAAGGAGCCGTCTGAAGTTTTATCAATCACTGCAACACTGCTGCTGGCAAAATGACATAGCTAAATAACAGCGGTCAGTGTAGTCTGGTAGTAACTGGGGCCCAAACTAAGTGAGTTTCATATAACCAGGCGCATAATCCTAAATCTAGACATAAAGGCTGTGTAATTGCAGAACCAGATTAGCCTGCAAAGTAGAGACACTTAAAAGAATTCAGTGGCCATATGAGACAATCCAGTATGAGCTCCGGCTAGGATGTTGTGGCAGGTGCACACACAGGGATAGTAAACAGTAGCAGGGATATAATTTTACTTTTGCACAGGGCTGTGCGTAAAGACAAAACTGGAATATGCAATTCTAGAATTCATTTTTAAAAAAGGACGATGAACTGACGTGGGTGCAGACATTTGGAGAAAATGCTTTACAATGGGAGATAATACAATTTGTTTAGCATCTTAAGTAGACTCAATAGTAAGCTTATTACAATCTATGAAAACTCTTTGGAAAGAAAACATGGGGGAATAGAAGACATTTTAATATGGTATAGGAAGTCATAGGAAAATCCAGTGATTGGCAGCTGAAACTAGACAAATTCAAATGGGAAATAAATCTCGTATTTTTAACAGCACAAGTAATTAAATAATGGAACAAACTACCAAAAGAAGTGGATTTTCCAGTTCTCTTTATTCAAATCAAGAGTAGAACAGAAGAATATGCAATAGTGTACTCTTGCCAAATACACGTGTCTTGGCTCAGAAATGATGCAGTGTGACATTTCTGAGCCTGTGACATACGGGGAGGTCAGAGTTGATCTAAATTCTTTGGAACTAAAATTGGAGGTGCCTCTAGATCAGACCCCAGCTCCCTCAGTTCCTCTGAGGGTGGTTTTGTGGTTGCATGTGTGGCTCTTCTTGACTATGCCAACAACATGCTCATAAAAACTATGCCAGTTTCTTCACCAGCTTACCTCCCCAAAGCACCTCTCTGTGGTACTCACAGCTTCCAACCCATGAACTGTGAACCCATGTTTCACCTCCAACCTATGCCTGGCTCTTTTCTGTCTACTTTGCTTCACTAAGTAGAGAGCTGTAGGTCTTTCCACTCCATCTTACTGTCAATCCTCAAATTGCCTGAAGTTAGCCCGAACTTGAGGTCTTGTATATTATTTTCACTGTAAGCAGAAACTCTGAACGAACTCTGCAGCCTCTGTGGTGCAATCCTACTTAGTCAGATACGGAAGTCCCCAAACAGTTGAACCCTTCATTCACACGGCTTAGATTAGTAATTGGCTTTACATGCCTATTGTGAAGTGGTGGCTCTTACTGCTTTCAAATAATTAGCCTAAGAAGGATTTTAGTAATTTTCTGTATTTACCCTGAATATCTTGCATGCGTATTTCTGTAATACTTCAGCCAGCCCCCCAGCATACCATCATCCAATTTGGCTGGACCGATACAATTGAGATGGATGTTGTCTCTAGTACTAAGTATAGTATTAGGGATAATTAGCCTTTTCTTATTAGGAAAGAGATAGAGACCCTGTCACAGGGATTTATGATCACTGAGGGAATGTAAGATTCAACTTCTTGTTTTTTCCCCACAGACATTGGATTTGGAGAGATGTGACAAAACAGGCCTTGGTCAAAGCACAACACCTGCACTAAAATGCCCAGGTTTTGTCCAAAAATCTAGATAATAAAGCCAAAAAGAAGCTGCCAATGGTGAAATAGATAAAGAAAGTACAGTACAAAGATCTGCATACACACACAATCCAGCCCTCTGTGCAAATTCCCATTGATAAAAGGCAGAGAGAGATCTGGGCTGGGAGTGCTAAAGAAACTTAAGTAATGCAGTATACTTAAAAGCCAGGTGGTTCTGCAATGTATCCTGGATCATCTCTGAAGACTTCTTAAAATGACAGAAGCAGACCTCTAACGTATCAGTGAACTAACCCAAATCCATTCGGGTAGGGACGTATTCATCCATTCAAAGAAGCAAACAGGGGAGACCACCAAGAACTCAGTCATCAAACACCAGGTTACACCAGGTTCAATGTAGAAAAATAAGACTGTTTAGAATTCAGAAACAAAACTCAGTTTCCCCAAAAGTTTAAAAGAACTACTAGATTTCTGATGAAGAAACTATCATTCACCATGAGAAGTCTGTAATACAGGTTTCAAAGTATGCTTCAGTGGTTGAAATGCAAAAGGAAAGCAAATACAGACAGTGTTGTACAAGTGCAGCAAGCCAACTGCTCTGCGTGTCATACCAGATTCTTCTCTATTTATAAATGGAGGAATAAACACAACCAGAGCTGTGTGTGGTAGGGAAGAAGGGAAAAGTAGTGAGTAGGTGTGAGGAGTAAACACAAGAACTTATTATCTATATAATAAACAGAACAGAAAACCCTGGGGAACAAAAAGCTTCCCAAGCTTCTGTGGTATTATGATGGTGGGGGAAAGAAAATCTGTAATTGTTGGAGGGAGGGGTATGCAAAACCATTTACAAAGAGTTCAAAAAAGTTTTACAGCTATATTGGATAAAGAAACTCTGTATTGAGGAAGCAAGCAAAAAAAGGCACTCTGTAAGGACAGAGGCAGTTAAGCACACGGGCTGCTTGATTTACACAACTTTGATGCAGGTTGACAGAAGGATAAAATAAAATCCTACCCTGCACACAGAGAAAATTAGAGGCAGAGGAGGAGGAAGGGAGGGTTTGGTTTGAAAGCATTAATGGGAACCAAGATATGAAGGCAAATGGAGAAAACTGAACAAAATGCAATTCAAAGACATGTTTTGCAGTGTGCTTAAGAGGCAGATTCTGGCCTGAAAAATTTACATTTGTAAATTCTTTAACCTAGTACAAAGGACCCAATCTCAGCTTGGATCATCCAGCCATGGCTTCTGACAGGAGCTGGTGTTAGATCAGCAAGCATTTGTAGTACACAGGATGGCAAGGAGTAGGTTACTAAATCTGTTTCTCTGTGATTTTAGAAACATGCATGGTTTGGACAGGAGAGATGATGTGACTCAATGTTTGATGTTTTGGAGAGAGCGGCAATGCATTCTGGAATACAAATGTCACAAATGTGGAACCTCTCTTTAGAATACCATAAAGTTGGTTATAACAAAACAGTCTACAAGACAAAACCTAACCAAGACTAAGACACAATCTTAAAATACTTGGACTCTTCTACGTGACTGTAACTGTGCTGAGGGAAGGATAGGGATGAGCTCAGCTAAATATTCTGAACCTGCCTTGACTATCTTCCACCTGATGAACGGATGTACACTTCTCAACAGATCTCTTGCTCCAAGTACTTTTTCTGGGTCTCTTGCCTCTGGAGCAAAACTGGTTTTCACCTGCAGAATAAAGTTTCTGCAGGCTCTTGGTTCATCTCTTCCTTTGCTCTCCCCTCATCTCCTTTGGCTGTACTCAAAATATTTCATTAGTGTCTTGTTATCTTTAATGTTTATTCTCACCTCCGAAACTGGCTTTGAGCTGTGTTTCCAAAGACTGCTGGAGCTGTAGCAAGGAAGCGGAGGAGCTGCAGTAATCCAATGGCCACTCAGATCTGGAAGATGACCAGAAACTGCTTGGCCAGCAAATGAGTTTTGCACGACCCCAGTACAGACCAGTAGGTGGAAGCAGTGAGAAACGTAAGACCAGAAAAGGCTCACAAGTTCGGCCCTCAGAAGCATTTAAAAGGAGAAGTCTTTTGGGGATTACAAATAATTTTTACAATTAGAATGTTATATTGTCATGTGAAAATGAAGCCTAGTTATTCATATAGCCCATAATCTATCAGACAAAGGAGTTATCCATCTATGTCTTGTCTGTCAGAAAAGGACCTGGGGGTGCTGGTTGACAGGCGGCTGAACGTGAGCCAGCAGTGTGCCCAGGCGGCCAAGAAGGCCAATGGCATCCTGGCCTGTATCAGAAATAGTGTGGCCAGCAGGAGTAGGGAAGTGATCGTGCCCCTGTACTCGGCACTGGTGAGGCCGCACCTTGAATACTGTGTTCAGTTTTGGGCCCCTCACTACAAGAAGGACGTTGAGGTGTTAGAGGGCGTCCAGAGCAGGGCAACGAGTCTGGTGAAGGGTCTGGAGAACAAGTCTTATGAGGAGCGGCTGAGGGAACTGGGACTGTTTAGCCTGGAGAAAAGGAGGCTCAGGGAAGACCTTATC